GATATTCCACTACCGTATAACCACTGCATTATATTTATGCTTTATATTTTGTATTATACTTAAACTGATTTGTACCCCCAAAAATTACACTGGGTTACAAAAAAATGGTCATGTCGTGTTTATTTAAAATTTACTGTGTTTATTAAAAGTTTAGGTGTCACTGAATAAGAATATACTACAGACGGAAAAATAATTATTTTAATTAGAACACTCTGTTAAAAACAGAATGTGATAAAAATCAGACAAAGATAATATTTGTCTAAGTTTGAGAATGCAAGCGTCTCTTCTTATATAGAACTGGTGAAACAAGTTGCTAATGAGAGGAAGAAACTTTGGCGCACCCTGGTGGCACTTATCCTAAGTAATTTCAAGCATATACTTTGAAGCAGCGCGGGACATTTCAAAATCGAACACCAGGATGCGCCAGAGCTTCTTTCACTCACTAACAAGTTGTTTTAGGGTACAGTCACACGATCCAATGCATCTGCAGGTTGAGTCCACAATAAAATAAATCGTCTCGATTTCGATGCGCAGTAAACAAAAATGTATAAACGCGCATCGAATCGTCTTGAAAGTCGAGACGATTTTTAGCTATTCTGGAATCAGCGGCATGATGCATGCATGCAAAAACATTTGACCTTTCGCACCTCATTTTCCGCTTTCGGAAAATCATTTTTCTGGCGAGATATTTAAAATTGATTAAAATTTAAAAATAACGTATTACTAATTATTACAATAAAAAATAAAAAAAATTGAACGTTTATTATAAGGAATATGTTGCGGACGCATTTTTTAAATAATAATTATATTCACAGCGACCACTCTTAAAGAGTCCCGACTGTCCGATCTGAAGAGAAGGGAGTAGACTTAGAATGCGTCAGTGGTGGCATCACCCTTTTAGTTAGTTGCTTTTCGGCAAGCGCACTGATCGCGTGTACTGGTAGTCGCCGTGATTCACATTTTATATTTTACTAAATTCACAAGTTTATCAATTATTATTAATATTCCACTATGTACTATTTTGTTAGTTTATTTTATTAATAAATGTTTTATACAAGTAAATTGGTAATAGCTTTGAGGTTCCCCTTTTTCTTATAATTAATTTTCGCAGTCTCACAAATTAGCCATTTTTAATTGAACATTTTTAACATTGGTCCTTCGAGCCGGATCCCTTTGCGATGGATCCTACGTCAGCTTTTAGTGAGATTATGAACCTATATGTTGTAAGAATCTATGTGAACAAGTGCATTAAATTTAACAAGTTACTGTGAGAAGTAAAAGTGGTGGATAATGGCGGACAAAACCCACGCTTCGCACGACGCCGAGAAAAATGCAACGCAGCACGAGGATGGCAGGGGGAGAGTTTCCGCCTTGCGCTCACCGGAAAAGGAAGCCCAATTTCCCCTCCTAAAGAAAAACAGACCCGAAAGAGCAGTCGAAAGAACTTCGGCAAGCAGCGAGACCGCTACGTTGACATTTCTAAAACAGTAGAAAGGAAGGCAAAACCCAGGAACTTATTCAAAACATGGGACTCGACAAATCCTCCAATCGGTGCGGCGTCAGAGAAAAGTGAATCAAATTAAGGAACAACAATGTCTCACACGGCGACTAGTCGAACGAGCTCAAAACGAACGAGTGCTAATGTCCTCGAACGACGACGTCTAGAAATTGAGCTCCGCACAGCCAAAGAGATCGAGCAATTAGAGGAGAAAGAGGCACAGCGACGACTTGAGCGTAAAACGAAATTATTACAATTACAAGCACGAATGGAAATAGCTGAACTAGAGGAAAGTGGCAGCCAGTATACCGAAACTGCTCCATCGGAAGAAAGCGAGAAGGATGACGCGAAAAAAGTCACCATCGAGAAAACAGAATCTTTGGCACATTTAACGGAACAATTGGCAAATGCAAAGGTTCGATCCTGGTTCGCGTCAGGCGAAACGGAGAAACAAAACGAGGAACCAGAACTGACTGAACACGGTGAACGAAAGATAGAATCTCTCGTTCAAACACAACCTAGATGCTCCGTGAGGCCCGAGAATAATTTACACCGATATATGGCGCGTCAGGCTATGGGCAGAGACTTGCCTAAATTTGGGGGATTAGCGACAGACTGGCCGCTATTTATTAGCACGTTTCGACAGACGACCCTAGAGTGTGATTATCAACCGAACGGAAATGTAATGCGCCTTCGAAATTGTCTTACAGGTGAAGCGCGAGAAGCAGTAGAAGCTCTTTTGACGACAACAAAGATCGATAAAATAATAGAAACGTTGGAACGACGTTTTGGCCGACCAGAATTTATCATTCAAGCGCTAATGCTAAAAGCAACCGACTTCCCAAAAGTGAAAGATGACAAACCCGTAAGTGTCGTGAGATTCGCGGACGCGGTAACAAATTTAGTTGCGACGATAGAAGCACTCGAGAGAAAAGACTATTTAATTAATCCAATATTAACGGACGCGTTAGTACAAAAATTATCGATTGGAATGCGTTTTCGATAAGGAGATCGTATCACGAAGGCAAACCAAACTGCCACGTTGTCGGAATTCGCGGAATTTTTGGATTCGGAAGCAGTGAATACGAGTTTGTTTTGTAACCCGTTTTCCGAAACAAAACAGTCGAAAGACTGCAAATCAGTGTAGTCAATAACTGACGAAAAGGATGACAAACAACAAAAGTGCGTTTACTGTGAGAAATTTCATGCGATCACGATGTGTAGTACGTTTAAAAAACTAGATAATAACGCGCGATGGAAATGGCCAGTCGAAAACAAAGTGTTTTAAGTGTTCAACAAGCAACCATAGACGAAATAAGTGTTAACGCAAGCTGTGCCGTAAGGATGGTTGTACGAAACCACACCACCCGTTGCTACACAACGATCGGCACGAAATTAAACCCGTAAAAAATAGTGTCGCACCAAACACCGCGAGTGCCTTCAATAACGTCCCTCAGAGTGATCATTCCCAACTAGAAAAGGATTTCCCAACGAGAGAAAAAACGCGTAATAATGATAATAGTGCCTGTTACCCTTGAAGGCCCTAACGGACAAATAAAGACATTCGCGTTCTTAGATTCGGGGTCAACGACAGCAATAATTGATTCAGAACTCACGCAAGAACTGGAACTTAAAAGTTATGTAGATCCACTCAATTCAAAGTGGATGAACAAAATGATCTACGAAGATACATCGTCGCGACGTGTGACTGTACGCGTAATCTGTGAAAATAACACTTTTTGCCTCGAAAACATCAGAACGATGAGATAGCTTGAATTGCCTTGCTAACCATTTGAAATAGACTCGTCGAAATGGAACCATTTAAATGGCGTCGATTTACCAGACACAGCAGGAGCTGTACCACGAATCCTAATCGGAAAGGATCACGCTCACGTGAAGATACCACAAAAAATCATCGTAGGAAAACCTAATGCACCGATCGCCAAACTCACTCCATTAAATTGGACCGTACATGGCCTTTTCGTCGCGGCACGTGTAAATTCCGAATGCATACTCCAATTTTATGATAACGAAGAAGAAGATAAAATCAGTCGCCAAATGACAGATTTTTGAACCACGGAAAGTTTTGGTGTCAACACGCGAATTAAAACGTTGCGTTCGAAAGAAGATACCCGAGCAGAGGAAATTGTATCGAAGACCGTGAAACACGAAAATAATCAATGGGAAGTTGGATTGCTGTGGAAGGCCGACGATGATGCTCTTCCTGAAAGTAGAAAGATGGCCGAAAAGAGACTTCAATCTTTAATAACAAAGATTAGACAGAATCCGGACTTTAAACTGCAGTATGATAAAAAATGTCCGACTAACTTATCAAAAACTATGCAAGGGAACTTACAGCTGACGAACAAAGGGACGTTACAAAAAGAACCTGGTATTTGCCCCAATTCGCTGTGACAAACCAGGACAAATACGGCTTATCCTCGAGGCAGCAGCTAAAAGTCATGGAGTTTCTTTAAATGATCGACTTTTAAAGGGACCTGATTTGCATAATTTTCTGGTAAGAATCCTCTTTGTTTTTCGGGAACGAGTCATAGCCGTTTGCGGAGATCTAAAGGAAATGTTCCATCAGATAAAAATTCGGAAGGAAGATCAAACAAGCCAGCGATTCCTAGTTCAAGACAGTGACAGCGGTAAAGTGATAACTATGCAAATGGAGGTGATGATTTTTGGATCAGTTTCGTCACCTTACGTTGCTCAAGAAATCCGCAACCGAAATGACAACAAGTTTAAAGAAGAACATCTGGAAGCGTGTAAGGCTATAACTGATCAACATTATATGGATAATTATCTGGACAGCACTAACACCATCAAAGAGGCTATTGATCGAACAGAGGCTGTCGCAAGGGTTTACAAGAAGGGAGGTTTTGAAATACGTAACTAGATGTCTAATTCACCCGAGGTACTGGACTCCTTGCCATCTGAATCGGTTGCTCAACGAGGAACCAACTTGGCGTTCGCCGACGAGGATTTCACACGAGTGCTCGGAATAGCATGGTCGCCCAATCAGGATACGTTCATCTTCTCGGCGAATTTCCCACGTCTAGACAACCGATTGATCAGCGGAGAAAAACGACCAACGAAGAGAGAAGTATTAAAAATGGTTATGTCTGTTTTCGATCCTCTGGGGCTGCTGACCGTAATGACCATCCGAGGAAAAATTTTAATGCTAGATATATGGCGTGCAGGAATTGACTGGGACACGTTACTTCATGACAATCTGCTTATCAAGTGGAAGACCTGGCTGAAGGATGTGCAGGAGGCAAGTCAACTTCGAATTTCTCGCTTTTATTCCCTGGGAATAGGTAAGCTGGGTGATGCACATTTGCACGTTTTTTGCGACGCAAGCGAGCAGGCATTCGCGGCCGCCTATCTTCGACTGGAGGGGGAAACCGGCAAGCGAATAGCTTTAGTAATGTCGAAGAGTAGGGTGGCACCTCTGAAACCACTTACCATCCCAAGGCTGGAACTTTAGGCTGCAGTCATGGGCAGTAGATTGGCACAAACAATTATCGAGAAGCATTCAATAAAAATATCCAAAAGGACGTTTTGGACAGATTCGCAAACTGTATTAAAGTGGGTACATTCCGACGCAAGGAAATATCAACACTTCGTTGCGCACCGCATAGCCGAAATCCTGGAAACAACGAGAGTGCAAGAATGGTGCTGGACCCCGACAAGCGATAACGTTGCCGACGACGCTACCAGAGACTCTGATCACTTGTCTCTTTCGAACAATTGTCGATGGCTAACTGGTCCTGAATTCCTGCTACTCGAGGAGCATCTTTGGCCGATGGAAGTGCAGAAATATCTGAGCGAGGAGATAGACAAAGAATTACGCAGAGAATTTACCTTGGTAATCAGTGAGGCGAGTAAATTTCCATTTGACTGTTCTAGATTTTCTAAGTGGTCACGACTAATCCGTTCAATGGACTGGTTCCTGAGATTTATTAAGAAAATACGAAATCGAAGCAAGGACAATCTAGAAGAGGAGTTGACAGCTCAAGAAGTTCACCAGGGAGAAATTCATGTCCTAAGAATGGCGCAACTCATGGATTTTGAGCAGGAGCTGCGTCACCTGAAGCAAGGGAACGTCTTACCATCATCATCGAGATTAAAAGAACTTTCACCGGAACTCGTAAAATTGTTGATATTGTCTTATCATCAACAATCAGAGCATCAGGGACGAGAACGAGTTGCAAACGACCTCCGATCACGGTACTGGATCATCAAAATTCGGAGTGGGGTAAGAGCCGTATGTCACGACTGTCAATTTTGTAAAATAAGAAAAGCAAAGCCCATTGTACCAAAAATGGCTCCGCTTCCAGACCTACGAACACAAGACCTTGTAAAACCGTTTACGAATACTGGAGTCGATTATTTTAATTCATTTTATGTGACAATTGGCAGACGTCGAGAGAAAAGGTATGGAGTCCTTTTCACTTGTCTTAACATTCGAGCAGTACACTTAGAAATCGCCAATTCCCTGTCAACGGACTCGATAGTAATGGCACTAAGACGAATGATGGCGAGAAGAGGAAAACCGAGATAAATCTACTCCGATAATGGAACCAACTTCGTGGGTGCTAATCGAGAGCTGCGTGAAGCACTTAATGATCTCAATCAAGCAACAATCCAACAGCAGACGGCAACACAAGGAATTGAGTGGCACCCTGGTGCTCCTTACATGGGTGGCTGCTGGAAGCGGCTCGTTGGTTCCGTAAAACGAGCAACATCCAAAAGAAAAAATTCTTCAAACACTGTTCGCCGAGGCGGAATATTCGGTAAATTGTCGACCGCTTACTTATGTTTCAGATGATCTCAATGACCAAGAGAGTCTAACACCGAACCACTTTCTGTTGATGTGGAGAGGCCCTTACAAATACCATGGAGCACCAGGCGGGTTTACTCCCGATTACTTGATACTTCGAAAGCAGTGGCGCCAAGCTCAGCATCTTGCTGATCAATTTTGGCGACGATGGGTGCGAGAGTACGTACCAACCCTCAACCGACACAGCAAGTGGCACCAGCAAAAAGCAGATCTTAAAGTGGGGAACCTTGTAATTATTTGGGACAATCAACTTCCACGAAATCAATGGCTGCGTGGAATAATTACTCATGTTGTACCAGGGAAAGATGGACATGTAAGAGTGGTTGATGTCAAAACCAAGGCAGACACATACACAGGAATACTGGAGGGAGAATGTTGCGGACGCATTTCTTAAATAATAATTATATTCGCGGCGACCACTCTTAAAGAGTCCCGACTGTCCGATCTGAAGAGAAGGGAGTAGGCTTAGAATGCGTCAGTGTTGGCATCACCCTTTTAGTTAGTTGCTTTTCGGGAAGTGCTCTGATCGCGTGTACTGGTAGTCGCCGTGATTTACATTTTATATTTTACTAAATTCACGAGTTTATCAATTATTATTGATATTCCACTATGTACTATTTTGTTAGTTTATTTTATTAATAAGTGTTTTATACAAGTAAATTGGTAATAGTTTTGAGGTTCCCCTTTTTCTCATAATTAATTTTCGCAGTCTCACAAATTAGCCATTTTTAATTGAACATTTTTAACAGAATTAATTGTAAATAAATTTCTCTTAATTTGTGACATATTTTAAATAATAATACAAATTCACAATATTAAAATATGGCAAAAAATAAGAGAAATTTATTTACAATTAAATCCTTATAATAAACGTTCAATTTTTTTTCATTTTTGCTTCCTCATAAGGAAGCTTTGCATTCGTGACGATTTTCAATTTTTCAAAAGAAGGTTATATGGACTCATTTTCATCTATAACATATATGTATATTCAATTCTGAGCAAATGTCCAGATGTATGTGTGTGTGTATGTGTGTATGTGTGTGTGTATGTCACAAAAATTGTGTACAAATTATCTCAAACAAATTTTTATGGATTGTCTTGAAATTTTGCAGGTTTATTGCAGTCATTAATACCTAAAATCTGACACAAGGATTTTCAAAAATATCTAAAAAAAAAATTTTATACAATTTTTTTAAAATTCAAAAAAAATTTTTTTTTGTATTTTTGTAAATAATTTTTTTATCTGTTAATATTTTAATTAATTATTCTCAAAATTACATTCCTGACAAGAAAACAAATCGATTGATGTATACAAAGTATATTTTTTATCAAAATTTATAAAATTAATAGAAATTTTTCTTTTTCACAAAAAATTCAAATTTTGTATTTTTTCATAATTTATTTAATATTAATATTTTTAAATGATTATTCTATCATAAAAAAGAAGCAATTTGCATATGAAATAGAGGTGTGTATTTAATCGAACCGAACATTAATCGACTCGACAACAGAAAATTCGAATCATTTCGAATTGCAAAAGTTTGCAAACCGCAATACAATTACATTTAATTTATGAATATATCTTGCTGCATCAAAAAGAAATTTCCTTAAGAAGAATGTATGCTTTGATTGTTATGCTTTTGAAAAATCATAATTTGGTTTTCATGGAGATTTGTACCTAAAATGAAGTAATGAATTTATTATTAACTTTAGTAAATATTTTATATGTTTGATTGGATTTTAGCCAATATCATCAAAGTACATTTAAAATTTTTTAATTTTTTGAATTTATTGAAATTGTTTAATAAAGCTTGAAATAAAGAATTTAATGATATTGTTTCCAAGATGCACCGCGAGGAGGTAGCCAATCAAGCATAATAAATATTAAATAATAATAATAATAATAAATATTAATAAATATTAAAATTATATTATTCTTATTATATTATATTATTTTATAATTTTTTTATATTTTTTATATTATTTATTATATTATTTTTTTCATTTTTAAAAAAAATTTAAATTAACATAAATTTAATATTTTAATGACCTCTAAAATCGACTTGTCATTGTTAAATTTTTTAAAAAAATTTTTTAAAAACGAATTTTTAATTTAAAAATTTTTTGATATAACAAAGGTTTTTTACAAGAAAAAATTACTAGAATCTATAAATCATTTATTTATGATAATGTTTGATTAAAATTAGAATAAAGTTTTAAACATAAAAAAACATTGTTATAAAAATAAATTAATATAAATTTTTTATTTTTAAACAAAATTGATAAATGTTTGTATGAATGTGTGTGTATGTTCCCGATTTTATGGGATAAATTTAATTTTATACATATGTTTAGATGGAGTTTGCTAGAATTTTGTAAGTGAATTACGTCACGAATTTATATTTTATATGTTGAGGAAGCTAAATGGTCATGAAATGAACAACTTGTTTATTGTAATAATTAGTAATACGTTATTTTTAAATTTTAATCAATTTTAAATATCCCGCCAGAAAAATGATTTTACGAAAGCATTAAGGAGGTGTGAACGGTCAAATGTTTCTGCATGCATGCATCATTGGCCGAATATACACAGCGCAACGCCAGTATAAGTGCCAATGTTAAACACTACTACTGCATGCATCATGCAGATGCATTAGATCGTGTGACTGTACCCTTACCAGTTCTATATAAGAAAATGAGACGCTTACATTCTCAAACTTAGACAAACATTATCTTTGTCTGATTTTTATCACATTGTGTTTTTAACAGAGTGTTCTAATTAAATTAATTATTTTCCCTTCTCAAGATTAGTAATTTAATTTTTTTTTTGAAAAATTTATGCTATGTGTTGGTATTTGTAAAATATTGATTTCAAACGTTGGTTCACTATTGGTAACCAAGAAATAACCAAGCATTAATTTAATTTTAAAGCATTGGTAAATAATTGGTCATTAATATTGGTCCAATCTTTGTTGCCAATAAATAACCAAGGCTTGGAAAGTCCGGCATTTGTCTTGGCAGCCAATAGTGATCCAATATTGGCTGCCAATGCTTGGCAAAGTCGTGATCATCCCAAGACTCTGGCAATAATAGCCCAATATTGGTTGTCAATGTTTGACCAAGAAAAAACTGTTAGCAGCCAATATTAGTCCATTATTTAGCCAATGGTGACCATTGGCAATTTCCCATTGTTACGCTGTGCAGTTGTTACAAATGGAATATCTCAGAAACAGTTAGTTATAGAGATGGGGTTCCAAAGAGAAAAATGTTTAGTTTTTACTGCAATATGTTTAATTATTATATGCAAGATTTACAAGGAAAAAATAGGCACATTGGTTTTTAGAGGCCAAAAGTAAATATTTCTCTGCACTGAAAGAATTTTAGGCAGGCTGCTGGCTTTTCATGTCCGAAATTAGTGCCCCTTGCACAGGGCTCGCAGATCACCTCAAAAAAGCGAGCATCTACTCCCGAAAGCTGCCCCTGAGGAGTTGCTGCTTATCTTTCGGGAGTAGATTCTCGCCTTTTTATGGTTAACTGCGAGCTTGAGGCAGCGAGCTCTAGCGGCACTCATGTAAAGCCTGCAGCCTCCCAAAAATTCTTTCAGTCTGCTCTCTAAATTTGAATCAGCTAAAACTCGCTGATTGGCAGTGTATAGTCGCTGATTCAAATAGCTATAAGTATGCAGCTGCGAATCAGCGAGTGTTTTGAAAAAGTACTATTCAGTTTTTAAACTTTTCTGACAATTTTTAAGTCATTAATTTATAAAGAACTCGAGAAAGAACTACATTTATTTAAGTTCAAATAAGTTTATTATTTATATATTTTTATTACAAGAAGAAAGATCATAGTTTTTATTTTTTTTCAAAGCATCGCGTGCAATTATATATCTTTCATAAAACGAAGTGTGAATAAACCAAAATCTTAATAATTAATTATCTGTGTCCAAAGTTAAGTTGCACAGATTAACATGGAGAGAGGAATAGCATTTCGGGCTTTTGTATGTTAAAACCATATAAGTAGCACTCAATAAAGTTGTAAAAGTTTTCTAAACCTTTTGGGTATTCCAAGTTTAGAACAAAATAAAATTTAAAAAACCGGACAAGTGCGAGTAGAACTCGTACTAAAACCGAGGGTTCCGTACCCTCGTTTAAAACTTCTACTTTTTTGCTGGAAAAAATATAAAGATCAACTCCAATATTTTTCGCTGTATTTTTTCTGTAATCTACAGGTGAAAATAAATAAATAACTAATTTTCATCTCTTCACATAAAAAACTGTGGGCGCTAGGGTAAAAAACACGTTTTTTTGACGAAATTTAAAAAAATTTTGAGTTTTTCGCTAAAAAAAAATATGAAGATAAAATCCAATTATGTTCGGTGTATTTTTCCTGAAATTTACACTTGAAAATACATCAAATAAGCAAAACTGTAGTCCAATAGGCCAAGAATTGTAAAAACTAAGGGAGGGGGGGTTCACACTTTTTTTCTAAAACGAAAAATTTTTTTAGTTTTTCGCAAAAAAATATGAAGATGAACTCCAATAATTTTTTCTGTATGTTTGTTGAAATCTACACGAAAAAATAAATAAAAATGTATAACGCCAGTCCACTAGACTAAGAATTGAGAGAACTAGCATAGGTATAATTATTATCAAAAATTGAAAAACAAAATTTAGGTTTTCGCTCAAAACGCAATGAAGATCAATTCTAATTATTTCCACTAT